AAAGGTCCCAAGAAATGGAACAGAGGGCTTCCCCGGCGCTCGACCCGCAGAGCGGGGTCGGCGGATATGGAGCTTAGTAAGGCCTAATAGGGTTCTAAACTTGGGGGGGGGGTAACATTTGGGGGGGGGTACATGTCTAACTCCTAACTGGTGGGGACTGGTGAACCAGAAAGACCACTCGCATTGCTTCTTTTCTGTATCAGAAAGTCACCTACTTGTTCCCAAAGATCATTAGACGTTGCTGTTTACAGCCCCATTCCTGCAGATTCCGCAATGCCTCAAATGTTTGGTCTAAACCCTGCATCTAGACTTGAGCTCCCGTAGTACTGATGACCGCAAGCCCTGCAACTACCGCTGCACAGGTGGTTACCCAAATGGGGTTTCTATGTGCCCAGAACCAGTTCAGTATGGTCATCACAGGTAACAACCAAACGCAAATTTGAATAATTCCCATCAACCCATGTAATCGTCATTTTGGATTCACGATAAAGCACCCTTCCCTATGTCAGGGTCTTACCCAGCATATCCTGAAAGGAGGTTGTGGACAAGCGTGCGCAGCAGCCCTTGCAGCTAGCGCTGACCTTGAAGGCCGGGGTGGGGAACGCAGGGTTTCAGGCCAGGGTCTATGAAATGGGCCTGCGGAATGGTATTCAAATGACGCATGACTCAAAATTTGGGTCTGTAGTTTCGTGGATACCCGCACCCGCACTCACACCCTCTTTCTCTTTTGTTTCTTGACCCCAAAATGGGTACTTCAACACTTGATACCGGGTGTGTAGAAAACAGCATTGCCTAGATTTTGTATTTGTACATGTGGTGTGATGAGTGGTCACTTTGCAATTCAGTCCTGCTGCAATTTGCAGGGTTCAACCCTAAACCGGGGTTTCCCATTTTTGGGGTCCCTGTAACAATATGGACTATAGTATTTGGAGGTCCCTGTTTGGGGTCCCCATGTTTAAGGAAATCACCATATACACTGATACAGTGTTGGCTTCCGAAAAGAGAGGTTCGCAAGCCGCATGATGCCCTCTCCTAACTCTGGGGTTTAGGGTTTGGGGCGTATATAGAGATGCAGGGGTTAGATCTAGGGTCTCCTCTGTGCTTCTGTAGGACCGAATAATCTCAACTATCAGATCGGGTTGCCGCATTTTCTCATTCTACTGTAGAAGAAGAAGTCCAGTTGAACTCAAGTACTGGATACTCCAACTCCAAAACACTATAACTTGTTTATATCTTCTAGTTGACACCTGTTTGTGCAGGGGACGAGATTTCGCAAAGGGATCCAGAATCCGAAGACGCAAGTCCTTGGACTGAATACCGCAGCCAAATTGTTCTATGTCACTCTACCGCTGACCCTTAGACACCACCAAAAGGAGGTTGCTGATGACAAAGAACCCCCTTTCATTGCTATAGCCTTGGAGAGCGCAGGATCCCCACACAGGCCAGCCTCTTCCGGGACCACCAGGCCGGGATCATTTGCAGCCTCGCCTTTTGTGTGGAGTTCTCAAAACAGAGGATGTCTTAATATGAATGTAAGGAATGAGCACAGGGTTGTGGAATGCACGGCTCTACAAGTGGTCTAGAGGTTCAGAAGACTGGGCCGCTGCAGAGTACTTCAGCCGTTGGGGTGATGAGTCAGGCTTCAACCTTTGAACCAAGAATCCCTCTGCCTAAGCTTGGATTTATTCTACGAATTTGTATTGCTATGACTCCCGAGTATGACACCGGGACGGCCACCGCAACCGCCGCCAATAACAATGATGACAATGACAACAATAATACAAGTGCCAGTAATCATAGCGATAATAGAAATATTACCAATACAAATAATAATACTAAAAGATAATAACAACAGTCTTAGCCTGAGAGAAGGCGGCCAGGGCGGGAGCCTGGAGGTCGCGTAGACTTTGAATCCATGCTGAGGTCCCAGACCGTCCGAACCCGCCATTTGGGTAAACTTCTCTGAATGCGGTGTACTTGGAAAATGAACAGGGAACACGGTTCCATTCACTTTCCCAAACATCACCAACATATTCTGTAACTTGCTTTTGAATTTGATTTCGCGTGTCAGCTGTTACACTCAGCCAGCCTGCAAACTTGGCTTCGTCAACGTACAGCAAGTTTCGGCATCCGTCGTCCTCAGTGCTGTGGACACCAGATTGATCTCAAGCCCCATGCCACAGGCTATGGTCTGCCGGGCCTGGATGGAAACCCCATGGGAGGGTGCCTTTGCAGCTTTTCGAGGGTTCAGGGTTTAGGGGTTTAGGCATTTAGACGCTCGGGTTCATCATGGCGACCTGAGAGCAGTGCCTGGTCTCCCTCCACAAGTGTACGGGTCACAGGTTTGCTTCTCCTTCTGGTGCAACAGATTTGGGGCACAGCAACAGACAGCCTTAGCCTCGAAACGAGATATCAGCCCCATCCCCTTGGGCGGAGGCTGAGTGTCAGATTACCCCTTCCGAAGCTCGTGATCAGGGAACCCCAACAGTACCTTCGCGCAAACGTTTTTGACGGAGGCCGCTATCATTGGACGGGGTTCAGAGAAATTACCTGGGACATGCCTCCTTCACCGGCTTTGTAGTTTGTATAGATCTCAGGCATTACCACCAATACTAAGATTGTTGTAGGGTCCTTACAAGTGGTGTATGTCGTATGACAATTTCACATCAATACCAGTACTGATAATCATAGGAATACTAGCAAAAGTAGAAAAACCAATAATTATAAGTACAACAAAAATCATAATAGCAGTTTCGGCCCCATGTCATCTGAGGCCCCTTTCTGCACGCGGGCTGCCGGGTGGGATGGCAGCCGACCCCATGCAGCTAGGACCGGCAGGCGCCAGACACCCCAAACCCTAAACCCCTCTAGAATCCCTATAGACCCCTATTATTGATATAATCCCTGTCTAACCCCTTTATAACCCCTACATGAGGGATTTGGGTAAAAGGTCTTAGGTCTAGGATGCGGGTCGGGTCATGCAGGGATACTCCGGGCATGATGTGTGGGCTATGTAGTTGGATGTAGTTGGGCTTCTGGGTCGTAATTCGATTTTGTTGATGGATTGGATCAGCGTATCAGAAGGTTCCTCGGCAATGTTGTTGAATGTAGGATGCCGATCATAGACGTGCATCTGAACTGACAGTAGGGTTGTACCATGCGGGATAAGGCAGGGGAAGAAGTGTTGGTTGCAAAAATGACCCCTCAGCAGCAAAATCCTTGTTGCACACGTCCTCAGCCGCTCAGGCCAGGGTATGGGCCCAGACCAGCCAAAAGCATCGCCCTTGGCCAAGCGCATTGCGCGGCCACCGCAAGGGCCACCCGCGCCCAAGGCAGGACATGTTGCCGAAGGTTTGTGGGTTTGGGGTGGTGAGTCCAGGCTTTGGAGTATAGGGTTCTTGGTGGCCCTCAGCCTTTGGACAAGTTTTGGTATACTGGCCTCTCCACACAGGGTAGCGGTAGCTGTTATGGCACTGTTGCGTCCATTGGTTATAGTTAGTTAGAATCCACTGTAGCTCTCATAGCTCCTTTTGCGACTCCAACTTTCTTGTTTGTGATACGCAAGAATCCTTTATTCGCGGCAGTGGTTCCTTATCTCGTAAAATTCCTACTAATTGTACAGGTATCGTGTTTGCCCTAATGATACGTATGCCCACTGGGATTTATTCAAGCTGAATTCTCTGTCGCCATGAATTGGGGTGTTAACGCAGGGAGACATTCCAGTACCGAGCATATTTGGAGGCCTCTACGTGATCTTCCACTGGCAGATGGCATCAGTATTTGTGCATTTGAGCACATGCCCAGAGGCTGATCTGAGACTTAAAGGATGTCGCTGCGCACCAGCCCAGAGGCATCGCAAGATTCGTACTGCATGACTGGAAGACTCAAGTGTCACTTGCTGTGCTCGCGCTTGTGAAGCAGCAAGCGCGAAGAACTGCTGTATACCTGCTTGATGTGAGCCCACAGCACGCGTACAACTGACAGATTATCGAGCAAACGTTGGTTTACTCCTAAACCTATGCAAGATTGAATTGTGATGTGGGCTTTCACCACTTCTCTTCGCTCCAAATTAATTACGTTAGCAAAGCTTGCCAAGCCGACGGCCTCTGACAGTTGAATATCTGCTGACAGACCGTCTCCCGCGCGTAGAAAAAATCGCGCTCATTGAATCGCATTGATACCTTACATCAGGCATCAGTATGCCTCGTAGCAGAGGAGACGTCTCTTTTCAACTAGCATACATTTTGGGGTTGCAGCGAATGAGCTTCCGGTGTAACCCAAACCGCCTATGCCCCACAAATGGTGCCTCATAGAGACTGCCAGCCGTCTAACATATGAGCTCGAGTCTAAGTTCTTTAAAGGGGGTTTTATAGGGTATGATATAGGGGCTCACCGTAGGGGTTAATAAGGGGGATACTAGCAGTTTTGACTATGGCTCATATGGGGTTCCACGTCTGTCTGTGGAGGTATACCCCATGTCGCACCTTGCGTTGTGTTTGGGATGCTGGTGGTTGGTAGGGAATGGAAGAGAACATGGATACCATTGCACAGTCTAGGTTCCTAACCAGGGATAAGAAAACGACATGAAAACTATTATAGTATCATGGTTTAAGGCGCTTGCCACAAAAAATGAGGGAATAGGATCTTGATCAAGCGTTGTACGGTGACTGCAACACGGAATCCTTTCTTCCCTACGTTCCCTCTGAAACCCTAAACCCTAAACTCCTAAACCTAAACCCAAACCCTGAAACCCTAAACCCTTTGAACCCTAAATCTTAACCCTCAAACCTTAGCCCCTAAACGCTAAACCCTAAACCTACACCCTGAATGAGTTATGCTACTGCTTTGATAGTCCAAGGCCGGCTTCCGAAGTGGCGAGGTGCCGCTAGAAGAGGCCCCAAGTAGAACGCAGGGTTTTTGTTTGGCCCTTAGGGACCCTGGGACATGTAGGGGTTGCGAAGGGGATGATGATGATTCTTCTTTGGGCTGTTGGCGCTCAACTGCATATCCTGCTCACATTGAGTGCGAGTGGCACTGGCTCTTTGCTTTTTGCTTCCAACATGCTTGGCAGGCTTTTGCGCATGTGCTGCACCGGCAAAAGCCTCAAATTTGCTAGTGCCAAGGGCTTCATCAGCTGCGGCATCTGCCTAAGGACCACAGAGTTCGCCAGAAACCCCTTGGTGTATGTGTCAAGGCCGCAAAGCTCGTGCCGCCTGCCTTCTGAATTGGCCCCTTCTCATGACAGGTGGATGCCAACTGCTGCAAACCGGCGGCTCCTCGCCCGTTCACAGCAGGTGCTGCCAGATTATCAGCTGTTGAGCTGCTTGCAAGGTACTGGCGGGCAATGGAGTGCATAAGAAGTACTGTAACTTCTTTCATCGACAACAGAATTGCCAAGGCCGGACCTGCTGAGTTTGGATTTTTGCAGTTTCTTGTGCTTCTGCGAGTCCTCGCTGTAAAAACGTGTTTATGCATGTTTGTTGTTGATTGTTTGTTCGCCGCCTTTGAGTGGCGAGTTCGCCGCCTATGAGTGGCGTGTTGCCGTGTTGAGCGGAGTTTTAGTGTCCATTCTCGTTGTCTTTGCTATTCTGCATGTGCCTGACCCGATCTTTCACTTGCCCGCTCGCCGGCCCCATATAAGCATGCTTTTAACCAGCACGCCGACGCAAGCAAGCAAGCAAACACTTGCATATCCACTTACCCGTTTACTTACTGGCTCTGTCCTGCTCCTGCCCGTCCTCCCTGGGTGCTCTCCTGGGAGCTGCGCCTCCCCCAAACCCCCGGCTTTTCCAAAGCCATCCATGCTTGCAGTGCAGAAGAAGAAGAAACATCATGTCGGGAATAGGGGAAGGTGTTGCGGATCATTTTGTTTGCAAATGGGGGGTGCTGTGCCCCCCCCCCAAACCTCTGCTTTTTTAAGGCCGTCCATGTTGCAAACAAAGCAGAAGCATCATGTCATCACCCCGCTTGTCCTAAGCGAAGGTTGTGCGGATCATTTTTGCTTGCAAAATGGGAGGGGGCTGCGCCCCTGACCCCTCCCGCCTTTGTAAAAATACTCCACGCTTGCAGTAAAAGAACATGTCATCACCATTTTTGCCCTGGCGGAGGGTTGTGCGGATCATATTGTTTGGAAACGGGGGGCTGCACCCCTCCCAACCCCCTGCTTGTTTGAGACTATCCGTTTTTGCAATAAACGAGAAGCATCATGTCATCACATCATTTGCAGAAAGGGAAGGTGGTGCGGATGACTTTGCTTGCAAAACTGGGGGGGGGGGCTGTGCCCCTGCCCCACCCCTTTTTTTAGCCATTGATGCTTACGGTAAAAAATCATTTCCTCACCATGTTTGGCGTAGCGGAGGGCACGGGAGGATTATCCAGATCTTTTTGTCTGCAAACGAGGACCTGCGCCATCAAACTGCGTAGAGGAAAATCGCCCTGCATGCTGTAACTCGCAATGTCTACGTTCTTTGCAAAGCTCCAAATGCTGTAACTTACAACGTGCATCGGCAAGCTCTAGAAAAATCAGAACTGGCGTGCTGTGATTTACAGTATTTGAAAGCTCTAAAGAGTTCCAAATGCTGTAATGTACAGTATCTGCAATGTCTGAAAAACAGCGTCAACCGATGCAGTTTACAGTATCTACAAGCTCTAGATGAGCTCCCAATGCCATAGTTGAGCTCCCAAAGTTGTAATTCATAATAGTTGCAGCCTCTATATGCGGGATAAAATGTTGCAAAATGCAAAATCTGCAGCGTCCATGCGGCCCAAAAGCTGTAAATTACAATATCTGCAGCCTCTACGCGGCCCATATCGCTGCATGCAATTGGCAGCATATCTTCTATTATAGGCAAGATCCTCCATCATAGTCATGTTTTATGAGCTCTTATCATGTTTTACATCCCGTGATTATCCACGCTCTTGGCAATCCATGAGGACTTAGAGGGTCCAAAAGCAACGACAGTAACGAGGATCGCAAGCCCGACCCTCGTAATCCTCGTGACTGGTAATATTTTTCAAACTCTGAAAGGATCCACCGGTCCAAAAGCAATGACAGTTGCGAGGATGGCAAGTGCGATCTCCGCATGGGTGTTCTTGAACGGTATTGACTGAGCTGAGCTGTCGATTCCAGCCGCATCTTGTAAAATATGTCTCAAGCTCAGAGCCCGGGTAACGGGGCCGGTTTAACGGGCCCTTAAGCACAAGAGCGAGCAATCGCGCACAAACGAGAGCAATTGTGCGCAATTGCGCACTTTTTCTAACTACGACTCTACTGCATGTGCGTTTGTTGGCGACTGGGCTGGCCCATGGTTTGCCGCCCAGCTTTCGGCTCATGATGTCTCTCAAGGCTCGCAGGTTGACTTGTCCAACAACCATCCATGT